AATCTGTGTGAATTTTTATGTGCCTACCATGAATTGTCTAGAAGCTATGACGAGAAACTTTTAGCTGTCTGAAGCCGATCAGAGGAGAAATTCTCTGTTCCTTTAACATGGGTTTCAATGAGGGAAAATCTGGGTCTCTCGTCTTTCTGAGGTTTGTAGCGAAAAAACGGTAACACTTACAGATAAATGAAACACATTTTGAAAAGCTGACAAAAATTCCTACTTTTTGAGTTATAATTCGTTTTGGTAGTCTAAACAGTCTGGGTGTAGTAATGAGTTGATCACAGAAGATGTGAAGTTCAAAAGTTAGTGTGGAATTTTCAGTTTAGAGTGGTGAGAGACATTTTTTAATTTGAATTTTCTCAAACAAATGAACCGTACAACAACAATGTTTGGAGTACAGTCGTGAATTATAGCTGAATACGAAGGTATATTCAATAGCTGTAAGCCAGCATGTGTCTCATTTCAATCAGACCTACGGTTCTCTCGGGACAACGCCAGAAATGGAGCAAGGGAGGGTCACTGCTTCTATCTTTTCCCATTATGACTTTTGTTAATTTTTCTGAAAATTTCAAGTCGTACCTGAAATTCTACCTGCGATTTTAGAAAAACCGTCAAGGATATCAAAAAGCCTCTTTAATATGTTAAACAGGAAAGTCTTGTGAGTTTGTTAAACTTTGAATGAAGTCTCTAAGTTAAAGGAACCCAAAAGAGTTAAAGTGATAGGAATTTTCTGAAAATTGACCAATCCCATTCATTTCAATGGGAAGATTTTCGAAGAAAAAGCTTAATAACTCGAAAAATTTTAAAGATATCAATGCAAAAAGTAAAAGCCGGAAAGAGCTTAACGAGCTGAACGTTTTGATATAAAATTGTTGAAATAGTTAAAAATTTGAAGGAGTAGAAAAAGTTCAAAAAGTGTACTGAAGAAGAAGAAGAAGAAAGAAAAACAGGAAAACAATAGTTTGAATGCTTAACAGCATTCAAACAAATATTCTCAAAGAAATGAACCGTACGACCACAATGTTTGGAGTACATTCATGAATTATAGCTCAAAACGAAGGTATATTTATAAGCTGTATGCCAGCATGCATCACATTTCAATCGGACCTACGGTTCTCTCAGGACAATGCCAGAAATGTAGCAAGGGAGGGTCATTGCTCCTATCTTTCCCCATTATAATTTTTTGATTTTTTCTGAAAATCTCAAGCCGTACCTCAAATTCTACCTGTGATTTTAGAAAAACTGTAATAGATATGTTAAATACTTTTTTAATCAGTAATAGCTGAAAGTCTTGTGAGTTTGTTGAAACCTTAATGAAGTCTCTAGGTTAAAGTTAACCTATAAGAGTAAGAGTTCAAAACAGTGATAGGATTTAGCTGAAAATTGAGTAATCCCATTCATTTCAATGGGACCAAAAATTGCAGAAAAAGCTGAATATCTCAAAAAGTATAAAATATTTTAATACCAAAAGTCATTGCCGGCATAAGCTGAATGAGCTGAACGTTTTGATACCATAATTGTGTAAATAGTTCAAGATTGTGGAAGTAGTTAAATGCCAAAAATGTACAGAAGCAGAATAATAATAAACCGACTAATAACTATAAAGAGAAACAGGATCACTATAGTTTGAACAACTAATAACTAACTATAAAGAGAAACAGGATCACTATAGTTTGAACAACTAATAACTAACTATAAAGAGAAACAGGATCACTATATTTTGAATGCTTTACAACATTCAAAAATTAATTTGAAGGAATATAATGCATTTACCATACATCTAATTCCTAAACTAGGGACACGAGAACCATCTGTTTAGCTCAAATTGAGATTAATTAAAGGCACTTGGCCTCAAAATCTAACCTCTACCATAACCTCACTCTAACCATAACAAAGGCTGTATGATAGCACGTCTTAAAAGCTTCACACACCTACTTTGAAGCTCTGACCTTTAAGCTCAAAACCTGAGATGGACCACATCCCTAGCCGCATAACCTTCAACTCTAACCATAACCTTGTTTTATATTACATAGTAAAGAAGATCCATTAGGTTACAGATAAAACAAACTAATTTTCAACTTGAATCAATCAGAATCAAATCAGAGCCAAGACTACAAAACATCCCGATCTCCTTTACACTTCTCTTCCCTCTCCCATTCTGTCTCCCTTAATCGGAAGGGGGTATTGGGGGAGCCATATAAGCCTAGTCCGGCTCAGTTGTGGTTAAGACGTAAACACGTTGCCACCTCTGCTACCTGGTCTCTCTCTCTCTCTCTCTCTCTCTCTCTCTCTCTCTCTCTCTCTCTCTCTCTCTCTCTCTCTCTCTCTCTCTCTCTCTCTCTCTCTCCTTTGCTCTCAATCTGGAAAAACCAACAATGGAAAGGGGTTTCTGAGTGACATGCGGTGGCCCGTGCACTGCCAGTGATTCCCTAATTAAACTGTTTCGGTCATTGGACTGACACAGGGGGAATTCATTGAGTTATATCTACTGAACCTAAACCTAACCTTCACTATAACCTTAACCATAGGATTTTGTTCCGAGCGGAGCAAATCAAATGGCAATTAATAGAAGGTAAGGGAATGAAAGAAGGATTCATAAAAATCATAACTCATATTTCAGAACTGAATACAGTTACTTGGGGAGCTGTGGGCACTCATGTGGGGATAGCCTGAGCATGTATTGGTGGACTGAACACCAGGAGTGCCTGTACACTTAAGGTTTATGTCACCTTTGGCGACAAAACCTTTTATCCTACACCTAACACTTAGTAGTCAATATAACGACAAAACAGCTGCGGATGACGTGCATCGGCCTGTGCATTGCCTTTGGCTCTCCAATTTCAACTGTCCAGTCATTGGAAGAGGTAGGGAGGTTTTAACGACAAAGCCAATACACACCTAAAACCTAAAAATCAAGAAATGTCAAAAAATCTTTCTGTCTGGTGAGTCAGTCCTCATGGATAAAGACAAGTGTTACATATTTTGAGTGGTTAATTTTTATACATTTTCAATAAAACATAAAGGTATTCAATAAAAAGTAATATTGCATAAAAACATGGAATATCAATATTTATGATCTTTTAATAATGGATTAATGATGAAAATAGGGAAACACTTTATAATAATTTCACACAGCAGCAATTATATAGTTTATATAAATCAATTTATTTATTATAAAGGATGATGTAAGGCAAATTATTACAAATGCTGATTCAAAGTGATATACAATGAGACATATAATGAGCAATGATGAAATATGAGCTTGGATATTATGTAAAAAAACTAATTAATTGTCTTAAAAAATTGTGATTCCTGGGTTGTGAAATAAGTCTTGGCTTGATGTTTACTAAGGTACCGTAAATCCTCTAATACAGGCCGGTATTCAATTAAAGGTCGGGTCTCCAATTTTGGCCGGTGTCAGAGTCGGCGGAGGTGAATAATGGCCGGTCTCTTATTATTGCCGGGTGGAATGTGGTAACAAGCAAGAATGGGGGCGGTTCTGTCATCCGTCTCACTTTTGATTTGCCAGTGATAGACCGCGAGGGTAACTTTAACCGTGCGGAGACGAAGAGGAGGCGAAAATTTGATATCAAGTTCAAAGAGAAAGGCTGATTATGCTGCAGAACACTCTGGGGAGCAGTAGGGGTTGTATGAACTAGTCGACTTCACTATGGTGACTTTTTATGCCTGTCGTCGACTAGTCGCTGTCACGTGATAATGACCGACAAGATGCAGCCCTCGGAAAAGACAGCAGCCTGCTGTCAGCAGGTGACAAGCTCCTGCGCTCGGGGGGGGGGGGGGGGGCAACGCGCTGTGCCAGAGCGTCGGTACTGACATGCGATCGTTCATGTTGGTTCATTTCCTTTAATGTTTTCTGTCTTTTATTTGCGCCTGATGTGTTTCGCTGCTGTGGAGCGGGGCGCATCACCTTGTCCTCCGACGCACCGATCACTGATGCGGCCGCCAAGCAGGGAGCACTCCGCTGTTTTCGCAGTCGGTAGATCTGCCTCCTGAGCACGGCCACAGTAACAATCAGGTGTCGCCACCTCAAAAACTAATTTAACACGCGATCGTTCATGTCGGTTCATTTCCTTTAATGTTTTCCGTCTTTTATTTGCGCCTGATGCGTTTCGCTGCATGCTGTGGAGCGGGGCGCATCACCTTGTCCTCCGACGCACTGATCACTGATATTGCCGCCAAGCAGCGGCACTCCGCTGTTTTTGCGGTCGGTAGATCTTTTAGAACTGCAGTTCAAAGGTAACTCATAAGGTAAATATATATGAACCCAGGTAGCAGTTTCTCTTTAGGATTGAGAGGAGATGCAGGAAGATAATAAACAGGCAGGACAGAAAAATAGTCAAATAAAAACAAGTTAGTTTTTGTACCTGGTGGTTGCAACAAACAGACACCACTGAAGGTAATCAGAAGTAAAGAACAGAAAATGAAATAATTATTTTAATGTTTAGAGCAGCAGGAACTCCGAGAGGCTGCAGGCGCATCAGTGAGTTTGCGGCCGCTGCGCAGGGGGAGGGAGGAGAGGGCTGAAGCAGAAACTACCGTTGTTAAAAGAAATGTGTTTAACTTTGAAAATGTGGGCGCAATTTTAATTGTCAAAAACTCCAGCGAACCATTAGTTCATTTTGCTCAAATAGAAATAGAGACCTGCCTCTAATTCTGGTCCTCCTTCCAATAAAGGCCTGGAGCTTGATGAGCTTGAGTCAAATACAGGCCCGGGCCTGTATTAGAGGATTTACGGTATAACTAATTATCAAATTACTAAAACCATCCAACATTAGGTGAGTGACTACAATTACCCTTGTGATGGGAGGTAACAGAAAGTAAATCTGTTAATCACTCATTAATTAATATACTAATATGAATATGTAAACATACTCATAATAATCATTAATAAATCATCAAGTAGACTTATTTGGTATATTTAAGATGTGAAATAATAAAGATTTATGTTGATTCGTTAATTCACTGTGAGGCAGTCAAAGCATCAAATCACTTTTAATAAAACATTCAGTGTATGAATATGACAAAACAACCTGTAGAGTGAAAAAAAACATTTTATGAAACAGAATAAGAATTATTTCATTAGAAGAGAAAATAGTCTCCCCAGGCTACAAAGCAGGAAGGAGGTTATTAAGACTGTACATCCAGATGGTGTAGCTAGAGAGGGTAAACAGAGAATTGTTTTGGTATGGAGGAGCACACAGAATTCCTGGCAGAAGAAACCTGACAGACACTTAAATGTCTGTTGACTTATGACATTGCTAAGACGGGCTGTGGACAAATGACGTTGCTGGATTTCTACAAAGCTACATAATATATTTGGGCAAAGCTTTCACTGTGAACTAGACATTTGACTCCAATTAAATCCTCTTGTTTTAAGCTCCAGCCGCTGCAGCTGTCAGTCGGATGTGAGACGATGACACCACTCAGGGGTCTGAAGAGCCAAAAGCATGCTCCATATTTTCTCTGCAGGGACGACAATCTTACTGATATTTGGAGGATGTTTAATGAGCAGGTAGACACCTCCACAAGCAGCCCCTGCAGCACTGAACGCCAGGCCACGGTTTATCACCTGTACAGAAAGCAACCAAAAAAAAGTATTCTTGGATTTGGATAATTGTGTAATTATGCACATTTCCTACTGGAAATATGTCTTCCAACTGAGAGTGACAGTTGTCTTTTATGTTCAATGCTGATAAAACATTCTCTTCAAAAGAGTGCTGAATTAAAATCCTCTTATTCTCATAGGTGTGAAAAACTACTGCAAAAGTGAAGAAAATGAATCAGGGCGAGAAAAAAACTTACTTTCTCCTGCCAGTGCCAGCGCTCGACAACTTTATGATATCTGGTCCTAGTAAAAGTGACCTGAACACAAAATACAGTCAAAACCATAACACGGGTATACGATAGATGAAGGGAAGCATAAATTGTTCCCTAAAGACGTGTTCACCATTGTATAAAGTGGAATTATTTTCTTTGGCATGATGAGGTGAAGAAAGGTCTCCACATGTTTTCTGAAAAGGAACCATCTGGAGTTGACATGCGCTCGCATCTGGAAGGTAAAATTAGAAAAGTATACTATTGTTTATTTTCAGATAGGCAGACTTAAAAAAAATCGAAGTTCATGGTGCTTTGTGCTTCATTTGTTTCCAATATTTGCTACTATCCCGATTTTAAAACAGCATCACTTACATTATGGAGGAAACTTGTTTATGAAATAGCATACTCAACAGTATAGTAATGGGAACTCCAGCTCTTTTAAGACAACCGGTTCTTACAGTTCAGGGGCCTCATTTATAAAACTTGCTTTGCCTGCCCCCATTTTTGCTTACGCACAAAACAGAGTCGGAAATCTGCGTAAGCAACTTTCCACTCTAACTTTAGGATTTATGAAAGAAAACTTAGCGAAAAATTGTGCGCAACTTTAAGTTCACTAAGGACCTGGCTTACGCACATTTTGGATAGCACCTGCAGTGCTGCTGCTGAGAAGGATACAATTATGAATTCCAGCAGCATTATCACTGGTACCACTTTGTGCGCACAAGAACTTTGTGAGTAACATTTGATTAATTGGTGTTTTGAACAGCTAGTGTATTTCCGTCAACCAAAAGAAATTTCAATCTCAAAAGATTTCTCAGTGGTTTATTTATAAACCTTTATGCTTTTGTTGGTTTTACATTTCACGGTTAATTACATGAAATCTAAATTACCTCAACATAGTTGTACATGGCCAGGTCTGCAATGGCATGATCATCTGGAACCCGCACTTTGGAAAACTCAGGCAGCACAGCACCTGGGCAGATAAACAAAGCTGTTGCATTATGAGCACTTTCTCAGCGTCTTTTTTTTTGTTCCACTCACCAATGTCTTCATTAAGCTGATCCAATATTTCGTCAAAGACAATGCAGTCCTCAAAGCCCTACAATGTATGAATGGATGAAACAGTTGAGTGGTGATTTTGTGAAGTAATGCTTTAAAAATTATTAATTGATGATGAAAAAAATGATCACATTTAATGTAAAAAATATTTATTAAAATGGTTGCAATAATATATATGCACTTTTTAACTGCCTTTTAGACACCAAATCCTGGATGGCAGAGAACTTTCTCCAGCTCAACCAGGGCAAAACTGACATTTTAGTCATTGGTCCTGAGGCCCAGAGAGAAAAACTTTTACTTGCTTTGCATGTTTTATATGATTATATTTTAGCACAGTTTCATAATTTAATTGTATTATTACTTTACTGTCCATATGAATTTATTTATTATTAATTTTGTCATTTATATTAGCTCTTTTACTTTCATATTTTTACTCATTTTAATCCAGTGTTTTCTCTGTAGGGGCCCTCTGCCCCAGGAGCGGTGGTTGACTGTTGCTTCCTGGGTGCTCTACAGGTAGTGTTTGAATGGAGGTGGGGGTCTATGCTCTCCCTCGGAGAGTTCGGACTTAGTTGCTGTGGAAGACCTGATGCTACTGGGGCAGACGGCTCCTCTGATGGCGTTTTCTTGCCTTACCTTACTTGGCTCATCTGGACTCAGCTGAATATAAATTTTTACTGGTGTGTGTGTGTGTGTGTGTGTGTGTGTGTGTGTGTGTTTTTTGGAATGTTTATTGTGTGAAGTGCCTTGAGACAAGTCGTCGTGATTTGGCGCTTTACAAATAAACTTGAATTGAATTTAACTTTCCTAGCAGAGGAAGGCTGCTGGACACCCGACTGTCTATTTGACATCTGGCATTGCTATGGTCAAATAACCTTGTTGGTCATTCCCAAAGTTACAAATCCTCCCTTTTCAAGGACTTGGGGTCACGAGTAGAAGACTTCAGCGTCCTCGAACCAGTTGTAGAAAGATCAAAAGGAAGGAGAAGATGGTGGTAGATCCTTTAACACACACGCTGCAGGTGAAACAGAGAGGTTACAAACACCCCCTCATAGCAGATTGTAGATTGGATGTAGAATGTGGTGTTACATCCAAAGGAACAAAAGCTGCAAATGGAACAGTGAGGATAAACAAAACACCCCACACAGGAGAGATGTCAGCAGACCTCCCATCAGCAATTATAACCCAAACATGGTGATAACCACGCAGTAACCCAGGAGGAGAAGCAGGAATGCAGGAACTCCAGAGAATAATCCAGAATATGCCAGGTTATTCCAGGAAATGAAGGAGATGGGGCCTATGGCAGTAGATAGTTGCAGATGGCTTCAGGTTGTCAGTTCATCTGGTGGCTTATATCGTTCGCAGCACACAAGCAAGAGACTCATACAATGATGTCAGATGGAAAAATTAAAGGAACTATGTGTGTGTAGATTAACTGAATGGTGTAATTAAAGAAAAAAATTGTAAATCAAAGTGAAATCACCGATGTGCAAATGAAAAAAAATGACGTTAAATGTGTAAATTAATTAAAATAGAAACGTAATAAAAGTCAAAAAGTCTGTGAAAACTCATGAGAGGTGTAATGAGCTAATAAATGTAAGTAATTAAACACAATATATGTAGGTTATACCAAAGTAAAACTAAACGATCACATGAATGTATAAATGTAAAATTATAAAACTGTATTAGAAAAATGAATTTGATTATAAAAATTATAAATAATGAAAAAAGTGTTAAAATGAAAAGGGTAACACTTTACAATAAGGTACGCAAAATTGTGCTTCGTTACTAAGGAACGAATTAGGTGGTAATGAGTAATTAAGCAGGGAAGAATAGGTAGTTAACCAGTAGTTACTGGTGAAAACACTCATCAGTCTTTTTTCAGGGACTAATAGGTAGTTAACCAGTACTTACTGGTAAACACCCAGTAATCTCATTCATGGACTAATAGATAGTTAATCAGTACTTACTGGTAAAAACCCAGCAGCCTTATTCAGACCGTAATAGGTAGTTATCTATTTGTGCTTCGTTACTAGGGAACGACTTAGGGGGTAATGAGTCGTGAAGCATGGAAGAATAGGTAGTTAACCAGTAGTTACTGGTGAAAATGCTCATCAGTCTTATTCGGGGATTAGTGAGCAGTTAGCCAGTACTTACTGGTAACCACCCAGCAGTCTTATTCAGGGACTAGTTATTTATGAAAGTAATAAGAAATGAATCCCAGATTAATGTAACCTCATGAAGGATGCAGATAATTTGCAACGTCACAGTGATTTAATATCACTGTTTCATCCTGAGTTCACTCGTCTGCCACTTCGTCGTCCATCATCGGCATCCGTCCGTCTCGAGACAATGGAAAGTGAAGCCTCCTCCCAAGTACCTACTGAGGAACGAATCAGTACCTAGTAGGTACTTGAGTATTACCTACTGCTTTTGTGTACCCTAAAGTAAAGTGAAGCCTCCTCCCAAGTACCTACTGAGGAACGAATCAGTACCTACTAGGTACTTAACCATTACTTACTATGTTGTTATATGAACATTTGCCATGAGTAGATTGAGTTTATTCACACAGCATTTTCTTTCATCTTGTGTGTGGTAATATTCCATAGATGGATGACCAAAATCCTGCAGGTTACAAAGTTACCTGGCTCAAATCAATCACTAACAAAATGTTCAATGTTTAAGGGTACTTTTTTTTTAAATAATGAGAACGGTACACAACAAACTTTTCAAAGATTTACTTTCACCTTTATAATCTATGAAATCAACATGTAAAAACACTAAAACAATATAAAAAAATTAAACAGAACAGGTCCATGGTAATCCACGTTAGAGATGAAAAAAAAAACATTTTTTTGGTTACAAAAACTTTTGGAACATATTAAGAAGTACTCCAGCATCCGTAATTTTAATGACATCCTTCTCAAGACTGGCAGACTGAATTGTCGCCTTGCATCTTTTAGCAAAGGAAGCTAAACTTTTCTTTGGGCTGTAGGTGTTCCTGAGTTCTTCGTACCTCTCCGGACTTCCATGCTGCAAGTTCAGCTATTGCAGCTGTGTCTGCAATAGTTTTCCGGTCTACGCCAATTTTTCTGAAGGCTGCAACCATTGGGAGACTCCCATCCTGTGTCGCCATAAGCACCTTCTTGTACCTGTTGATGGCTTCCTCTGGTGTTATGACTGCAATGACAACAAATAAAAAAAAAAGTTAAATATCCTTTTTAAGACGAATGACTGCACCACTAGCTTTAAAATGTATTAAACAAAGGAACACTTAAATTTAAACATGTTAATGAAAATTATATTCTCTGTAGACATCACAAAAAATGCATTTTCTCTCTCTCTTTCTTCACATGTAGAAATCCCAATTATCTATTTGTTCTCATTTCAAACATATTTGAAAATCATTTTTCAAAATGTTTTTTTTTATATTTTTAATTTTTGTTTTTGAGAAGCGCTTTGTGATTTTTATATTGAGGGGTGCTATAGAAAAGATAGTTATCTTTCTTTTCTTTTCACTACAGAGCTCAGCAGTGTCTTTTTGTTAAGAAACTCAGGTCCTGCTGCATTTATTTGCAGCTTGCATAGGAACCACGACCAAATTTAAAATATTAAAATAAAAACAGTATTTAGTCCAGACCAGGTAAAGTGAAGCAACGAACCTTACTGGTGTGAATACAACCTAAATATGCCATCGTTTCTTGTATAAAAATATCAGGATTAAAATATACAACATATGGACTAGTAATAGTGAAAAAGAGTTATAAAAAACACTGTAGAAACAAGAAGGATAATCTCTGTCTCTTGTCATTCATGTATACTTCACAAAAACATTATTCAAGTAAAAGTTAAAAGTACGGTATAATAACACTATTCTTAAAAGTATGCTCTCTCATTCAAGAGTATGCAACTGAGTAAACTTTACTTCCCAACGCTAAAGGTTAGCCTTCTTTTAGCTTAAGGTTAGCTTGGTGGCTAAATGTGCTGTGTACGTGTTAGCGTAAAAAGAGGACCAAAACATTTACTCTTTTATATTTTAAATAACATACTCACACATAATTGCATCCTCCATGACACGCCGTGGAGGCTGTCTTTTTCTCGTCCGTACGGTCCGAAAAAGCGGCATGATGAGCTGAGGGCGACGACCTAACGTGAGGACCTGGCAGCCGGCTGTTACGTGACTTACAGTTGCATCGCCTTTTCCGAGAGGGTGCTCGCTGCAGAACTACAAAGGTGGAGCTGCACCAGAGTCAGCCCCGCCCATTCACGCAAACTCAGCCTAGCCCACTGACTTCTTCTGTTTTTTGTTTTTTAACTTAATCTTAAACTAAGCTGACCCACATGAATTACGGTTGTTACTAGTTTAGAATTGTTAATGCTATGTTCTATGCTCCAATTAAACAAGATAAATACAACTTGCTACATGACAAAGCTTGAATATATCCTAAAACAAAAAGGCTCTTTAGTGTGTGTGTTTTGGTAGTCCAGTGGCATGATTGTGTGATTAGGAATTTATTTTCCCTTTGCTGATGTTGGTTCGAAACTCAGTGGGATCAGCAGCATTCTATTTAGCCAGCTGAAACATTTAATTTGTTTATATTATATTGTGTGTGTGTGTGTGTGTGTGTGTGTGTGTGTGTGTGTGTGTGTGTGTGTGTGTGTGTGTGTGTGTGTGTGTGTGTGTGTGTGTGTGTGTGTGTGTGTGTGTGTGTGAATAAAACTGTTTGGTCTATAGTAAAAACTGTTTTCTGCGATTTGTATCTGTCTTGTTTAGTTTTTGGGCATGATATACGTTCAACAAGTCAGAGTATAAAAATGTTTAATTACAGTGTTGTATTTTAATATTATTTATTTATATTAGTTGTATTTTAATATATTTAAATAAATCATTTATTTGTCAAGATTATATAATACAAGCAGTAGGTAATGCTTATGTACCTAGTAGGTACTGATCCATTGCTCAGTAGGTACTTGGTAGGAGGCTTCACTTTCCATTGTCTCGAGACGGACGGATGCCGATGATGGACAACGAAGTGACAG